AATAGAGCAAGCGGCGACCACTCTTATTGGACTGGATTTAGGCCCCGCAGTCAACGGAGTGGTACACGCCGCCCTCCACATCATCGAAGAGAAGAGGAAGGACGAGCAACAAACACGGGTACGAGCTCACGAGAGCTCGTCATCTGTGTTGATCGAAGAGGTGGACAACGATGAGCCCCAAGTTTCGTCATTTAACACGGGCATCGTGCGCGAGGAGACCGCATCACTGCCAGGGCCACCAGTTGGAGCCATTCCCGCGGCGGCAAAGGTGTCGACGGGCACCCAAACCGAAGGTGCTCCCGTCGGTACTATTTGGCGCCTCGATTTCCTCTACCAACCACTTGCGCCGGGTAGTCACTGGTCGTGGGAAGAGATCGTGGAGGGCTTCAGAGAGGTTGAGCAAGGTTGGACCACCCTCAACGGGCTTCAACGAGTCGTATACGTTGAGTTCGACGCGTATACGGCTGAGAGACACCGCCCCAGCGATTTGGAGCACTGGAGCAAGGTGGTGTCTCGCTGAAGGAGGTACAGCGTCGTCACCGCCAGGCCCTCGAGGGCCCGGTTAATGACCGTCCTTCGGCCACCGTCCAGCCTCCAACGACCAAGATCTCAGAGACTAACCCCACGGCTACCATCAACCAGAATCAACGGACGTGCGGGGTAAATCTGGTGGTAAACCTAAATAATGGCAATGTGGACCAGGTTACCGGATCCATTCATATCAATCTGGTGGTGGGGTCCACAAATGAAGTGCCCCTGGTGGAGAGGATGCTGTGGTCCGCGCCCAATCGGCGAGATGGGTTGCCACTAACCCCCAGAGAGCAAGGAATCCCACGAGGCATCACGTCGCGTGCACAGTGGGAGAGTTGCAACATGTGCCATTACCCCGGAGTAACCCGCACGGACCGTTGCCTTCGTGTCCGGCAAGATCCTGAAATTGTAGCCGAAAGACTGGATTGGGAGGCACGCGGACGCCACAATCTAAACGAGGAGGTCCAAGAAGATACAGTCCCTGGATACCCGAGACCATCTTTATAAAGGGTACCTGCTCCGGTGGGCAGGGCCGACTCCGGACCATAGCCGGGCAATAAAAAGAATATGCCAATGAACATAATTTCTCGTTGCCTTTTGTTTACCTTACCTCGAAGGGAACAGCACAAACAATTCTATCGTCAAGGACACCGGGGGTCCGGCTTGGGAGGGGACTGTGACGGTAAACGTCTTGTTTGCGCTGCCCATCTCGATCACGCGGCTGCCTATGAGGGCAGCATCTACCGTCCGAGGAAAGCGGAAAACGAGAACTCGGTACGATATGGGACGAAACGCGTGCGAAGGTAAAAGAACCAGTCGAGGATTAGCCATCCGAGCATTAAGAAACTCAGAGGAGCCAGGCACAAATACGATCACAAAAAAAAGAGTGCGGAAGCGAGTCTGCCGATAACTTCCATCAAAATTTCCGTTGATGCCGTTCGGAGTGAGTGGAAATATCGCCATCGTAGGCGACCACGAGGTCACGGAATCCCTCCGACAGAGTCAACAGGACGACGGAGGAAACCCCATTTACAACAGAGAAAAGCAGCAATCTGAGATACTAGAGGCGATACTGATTTGCTCCCCCTGATAGTGCGACTGTACACTCAAGGTAAGCTGGCCAACTTCGCGTTGCAATTTTTGTTAAACGACCACGCTTGATTGCTCTCCCTCACATCGGCAATTATGAGAAAATCGGTAGCCTGCATGCAAACGAATTTTGCGAACGAAAGATTGTAAACGAATTGGCGATGCATGAGATTGTCGCGCGCACCGTATAAACATAAACACGCGGGCCAAGCGTATTGTAGAGTATATTGAAAATAAACTAGCTCATTTATGATTGAAACGTTAATTCATTGTTGTCATTGTTAGTAAGTTGGTTGACTGACACCTGTCCTCTCCTGATCTCCGGGTAGTTGATAGACTCGATTATTTCAATTTCGCCGCGCGCATTCCGGTACGATTGCGCGTCGAGCAAGACAAAGAAATAAAACGGAATTCACATCTTGTTACAGCATATAAATTGTTGTGTACAATAACATACGTGAATATTTATGTATGGATATACTGTACCATACTATACTATACACAATAGTTTATGTGTAAAATATTTATATGCGCAATAATCGACTTACCTTGTAAATTTCGTAGTGAAAAAATAGTATAAGAGAACGAGTGAGAAATGAACGAAAAAGAAAACGGTCGATGTCTGTAATATAAAATAGTAACGGATATGCGCTAGACAAAATAAAAGTGAAGAATGTAGGAGCGGTCGAGATAAGTCTGAAAAAGGAATTAAACGGTTTTTCGGGATAAATAAAAAATATTAATATTTCCTTCTTCCAATTAATAGATACTTGACTGCAATACAGCGTGGAAAATTGCGTGACATCACGTTAGCATAGACTGGATGATTTCAACAAGAAAAAATCAAGAATCTTTTAATATATTTGTTCAGGATCAAGACTGTCTGATATATCGGTGTTAATCAGATTTAATATTGGTGAAAATAAGAGAAAAACAAACAGATCTTGATTGGTTGAGTTAAGAAGTTGCAGACTTAAAGACGAGAATGAGAACACTGCCACTAATCACTTAATTATTTTACTGGAAAAGTCTTTGGAAAATACACTTGGAAAAGCCTCAGAAAAAGCTACTGTAAACTATCATGCCTTGATAGCAAGTCCTGGTAGTCACAAGCGATTTCCTCGGAAAGTTTCTGGAAAAGCCACTGGAAATGTCGTTGAAAACTCTTTTAGTTTGGCAGCAGGGATTCGTAGTTCTACTTCTATTCCTGATAGAAAGCTGAAAGGCTTCAATGAGATCCGAAGCTGGTTGATCCGCTCGAAATAATGAAATAAGTGAGCCGATGCATTGATTTTTACACCCCTGTTCACAGCGCTTAGAGCGTTCTCTCTCATTATGTCATTTATTAGAAGAAGGGACAAAATGATCCATAAGATGTCCCATACTAGGAAGTTATAAGATCAGTTCTGGGAGAATTTGTGACGTCAGAGATTTGACTTCACTTGATACTTGTAATCCAAAATATAAAACAAATATTATCAACAATCGTGTTGTGAGTTAACAAGAAGCAAGATTCGGCCTGTCTTAATTATACATAGGCGAGATGGAAGATGAAGTCAAACATTTACTTTTAATGTTTGTTAAGCCATGATGTCACAGCTGTTTACCATGAATTCCTTGATTTAAGAGAAGAAAGAAGCCAGCCACCCAAAATCATATGTTAAGGGAAAAATTGGAAAATACAAGCCGAGGCCTGAACAATATTTGAAACGATAAAAAGTTATTTCACGTATATAGCGTCTATTTACTTCAATTTAGCTACAACTGTTATGATTTGATTCAATTATTGAATTGAATATTAATATAAACAAGATAAGATCGCGCGAATTATACTTGAAAAAATAGATTTCAATAAAAGTGATTAATTTTATAAAAGAAAAAAAGAGAAGAAAAAGGTTTCCGGACGAGTCTTAAACCAGAAACGACAAAAACAAACAAAAACGAGCATTAGCCATCTCGGCTATCGAAGTATTCAGTGCATTTATCGTGAATGTCACATATGTTAATCGAGAGGCGTAGGGGCTTGAGATAAAATGAGCTGTCAAGAATATAACTGATTATTATAATATTAGTGATTAACATAAAATATTGATTTATATTACTTTAGCAAATACGTAAATTTAATTTCATGATATAGAATTTTAGAAGGAATTTTAGAAATTTTAGGAATTTTAGGAATTTTAGAAGGATGTCCTCAATCGTCTGCGTGCAGATTTGCGTTGCTCTTTGCTCTGCTCATCAGCTAACACTGACATGCTGCTAAAATACACACGTACGCTCGCTTCCCCTTGTCTCCTTCGGACGCATATTCGCTTCTCTTACATTCTTTTATACGCACGTTTGTATACCCGCACCGTTTGAAAATGGGCATATGGTTCAATGCTTTGACCATAAGAGGTGCTCGAACCAGCGACTTTCATCGAGGACGCTCTGTAGCACTGCCGTTAACAATCTTCCTTTTTGTCTCTGGTGCAAGATAGAAAGAAATGAAGAAGAAGAATTCACGGTAAAAACTGGAGTCACACGGCAATATGTTAAGTCGACAGTTAAGAGTTATCTAGAAACAAGGCAGCCATCTGCTATGCAAAACTTTGTTCTTCCTATTGATAGCAAAACAGATTTGGAGGAAAAATATACTCATAAAGAAAGCATTCCCTTTACAACCATCACAACTAATAAGCCAGAGGGTAAAAATCTACTACTTTATCGCAACAGAAACATTCACTATATTGACGTGGGGGATTGACTTGGTTTCTTTCTCTCTCTCTCTATCTCGCATGCATGCTTCTGATTGTTACATTTGTGTGAAGATTGGTGTACATTAGTACATTCAATATATATTTTTCCACCTGATGTTTCGAGATTTGGTTGTGTTTAGTTTCCGTGTTGTATATCGTTTCTGTACCAACTACTTAAAGGCGAATCGCGATGTCGATGGTGCTATTTAGGATTTACTCTTATCAGATTAGAGTAAAGATAGAGTATGTTTATATTTGATTTCAATGAATGAGTTTTATTATTCGTTTGTCTCTCAAGTAAGATTCCGTTGCTTAGCAGGATCTTCTTAGCTATAGCGCACTCGAACTCTCCGAGCTTATCATAAATAATAATATGTTAGCATCAAGTCTGGCCTAGGGAATCTATCAAGATTTCAAAATAGGTTTGGGGGTTCGAGAAATAACATGTCTAAAAGTGAAAGACATGACAAAGTTTATCAAATACATATTAGAAAACCACTAAAGTACAATTTTATAGATATAGGTACTAGACTAGATATTAGGCCTTCAGCGTATTTGACTTAGGCCGCTTGTTGCCACGGATAATGTTTAGTAATTTCTTTCAAAGTCATTTATTGTTTGAAAAATTAATTCATTACTTACCCATTTCTAAAGATATCAGTTTTCCAAGAGAAATCTTGTTATTCCTAAGCATGTTACCAATTTGGCGAATTATTTCTCCACGCTTTGGAGGTGGCAATGTACTCCAGAGAAACCAAGCATTATGAGTTTTTTCAATAGTAGATTCTACTTCTTTTAAGCTTGGCATTTGAATTTTAGCGATCATGCATCCACTTGCAGGTGAAATAGACTCTAGTACCTACGGCATTATATATTTAAATTCTATCATACAAAGATAACTTAACATCAACTATCCATTCTGAACTACACAGTTTTCATTAACAGATTTTTTTCATATTAAGTCAAAAAGAAACAGATTATTTTGTATTGTATATTAATTTATATTTACCAAAATATCAAGGTGTTAAGTTAACTGTAAGAGTAAATAATTGTTTACTTGCTTATGTGGTAATGTGCAAAATCTCAAGACAGTTTAATTTCGAGGTTCAACAACAAAGGCTATTAATGCTTTTGGTATCGAAAACTAACTTAGGATTAGCTATGATCTTGTTGTGGCTTGTTGAGAGATGCCTAAATTGGCCAAACATGGCCTTGTGATTTTTCGTCATTCAGTACAACTCCTAATAGAGAGCTAAAAGCTTAATAATATCACCGTGACATCATTAGTAGATATAATTGACAGCGCCGTTATCAAGGGTTATCATCCCCCCACAAATTATGCGAAGAGGGGATTTCGGAAGCACGAATGCTCCCATGACTGAATCACGCGCAGAGCAAAACGCGTGCATCATGTCTAAACAAATTTGAGATCAGGAGTAAGTGAAGCGGCAAGTAACGGTGAGAGGAAATTAATAATAAAAGAAAAACTTTCTAAAACAAAAACAAGAAATAATAACGAAGTAATAATACAAAATGGGGATATCGTCACCGGCTCCTCTATGATCGATAATAGATCTCGTGCTCGCAAAAATCAAGCGGTGACAAGGCTGTAACCCGATTCGCTTTATTCTACCCTTACATCTCAATAAAGACGATGACGTCCGTACAAAATTCAATGGGCGATCGTAGCCGACAGTATAACTGGTAGTTATGTCACGCAAACCGCAAGATGTAGATGGCCATAATATACGAAAGAGAGTGATAGAGAGGGAAATGCAGCACCGACCCACAGTGATGCAGAACAGCAAAAGAAGTATCAAAATATTTGAATGGGTTGGATTTGACTTCAAACTAACTTGCAATATACTTTTTCAATCTATTTTGCACAAACGATACCAAATCCGTTTCCCGCGACAACCCACGATTACTCCATGGTGTCTAAAGACATGCGTTTGTAGCAAGTCATCAACCAAAAAATACATTTTTCATGGACAAATTTTCTTAAGAATATTTCATTTCATATATCTGTAACGTCGGGCCGTTTATTATCAAAAAAAATTTTTTTTTCCTTTTCCCGTGTGCTTTTTGCGTGTACAAGGTGTGTTCAAAAAGGAAGGTGACTGTATTTTGAAGAAAAAATATTTATTTATTTATCAATATTTATGTTGTCCCCTTCAAAGTAATCCCCCTCAGATACAATACACTTATGCCAACGGTTTTTCCAATCCTCAAAGCACTTCTCATAAGCACTTTTCGGTATAGCCTTGAGCACTTCCAGCGATGCAGTCTTTATCTCTTCAATCGTTGCAAATCTCCGTCCTTTTATAGGTCTCTTTAATTTTGGGAACAAGAAAAAATCACATGGAGCCAAATCCGGTGAATATGGTGGCTGAGGCCAGATTGTGGTGTTGTTTTTGCCCAAAAAATCTCTCACAAGCAAAGATGAGTGAGCAGGGGCATTATCGTGATGCAAAAGCCATGAATTGTTTTTCCACAATTCTGGGCGTTTTCTTCGTATTGCTTCTCACAAACGGCGCATGACTTCAAGATAATACTGTTTATTGACTGTACGTCTATATGGTAAGAACTGATGCTCCACGCCATGGTAATCGAAGAAAACAGTGAATAAAACTTTGACATTTGATCGAACTTGGCGTGCTTTTCTCGGTCTTGGCTCATCTGGGCTCTTCCATTGGGACGATTGGATTTTGGTTTCGATATCATAACCATATACCCATGATTCATCACCAGATATGACCCTTTTGAGTAAATCTGGATTGTAGTTGACGTCATTGAACAGTTCTTGAGCGATGCTCATGCGACGGTTTTTTTGGTCAAAATTTAGCAATTTCGGAACAAACTTCGCTGGCACACGTCTCATGCCTAAAACGTTAGAAAAAATTTCATGGCACGAGCCAAGCGATATACCAACATTCTTAGCAACTTCTTTGATAGTGATTCGACGATTTTCCAGAACAATTTTCTTCACTGCTTGAACGTTTTCATCAGTTGTTGACATGCTTGGTGGCTCGTCATTGGCATCTTCCCGGCTATCTTGGAAGAGTTTGTACCACTTGTAAACATTTTTTTTACTCAGAACAGTTTCACCGTATGCCACCGTCAACATTTCAAGTGTTTCGGAACACTTTATTTTATTTTTTACACAAAATTTGATGCAAATCCTTTGATCCATATTTTTCGATAGCAAGAAATCGCCGAGCACGCAAAACACTTATAACCTTTATGCCTCTCACAACCAAACAAAAAATGCTATACGCTTGAAACTTGGTACAGATATTCGGGAAGAGTGTACCAACATAACCAAACAAAAAAATCGATAATCGAAAGTACGTTGCCCGTGAAATTTGAAAAGTCACCTTACTTTTTGAACACACCTCGTATATGCATTTAATACGTGACTTAAATTTTAACTCTATGAGTGAGAAAAGGGAAAGCATTCAGCTAAAGCGGCAGGAGAACAAATGAAAATACCCGTCCCTTTGCCGTGCACTTTCCGAATTTTACTCCGAAAGATTCCACTTTTGAAAGCTAATTTTTTTACCATAGAGAAAAAATGTAATAATTATTTTGGTATAAATAAATTGAGAATATAACAGCACGATGGGAGAATTTCGCAGCTTCGTAAAACCTCCCGCACACTTTTTGATTAAAAACGTAGTTTCCGCACAATCAACGAAAATATTCAAAAGTTGGAAAATTGGATAAATATTCAAAAAGCAATTACATGAATGAACTATAGTATATTAGTCCAACATGTGACATAAATTAAAATTATGTTTGTAATAAATAAAATTGAATTCCATTAGATAAAATAATAAATCAATTAGATAGTCCACAATTAACTATTTATTAAGCTTCATGTAAACGAATACGATTCCTAAATAATGCATAATCTCTCCTTTCTCATAACATATTATTTAACAAAATAAATTAATAATTATAAGAAAATTTGTAACGAAAATGGTACTTGGAGAGCCATCTAACGAGATAGGGCCCATACCCTTGAACGCACGCCTCCGTTTTTCACCACGCCCTGAACCAATTAGGGCCCGAAAATTGAAAGAGAAAAGGGAGGAAATCTCAGTCAGCCAATTACATCCTGTTGCCATTTCCACTCTTTCTAAATTTTGAGGGACTGAAAGAGCGATTTTCCTCCCAACTACCCCCACGCTTTAAAAGGGCGTGCGCGAGCGAAAAAATACTCACTCTCTCGCTCCTCGCTAAGTTTTCAGTTTTACCTTGTTTTACAAAGATAGACCAAGTGCCAGGTCCAGTAGGATACCACTCTCCAGGTACCAGACAATTACGTTCAAAAAAAGTAAGTCGAAACTAAATTTTTTTATTGTTATCTCTCCTTTTCCTCTTCTGATTAGAGTAGTCAAATCGAAACTCGAGAGAATAAGTCTTCGAAAAGCATTTCAGCGTTAGGAAATAAATTAAATTCTTTTTATGTGATAATTCCAGCAAGGTCTGGGATATTCACATCCGAGTCCCGATACCACTGGATCCTGGTGTTTGATGGAAGACTTGCAGTCCAAACTTTTTTCTTCTCTTTTAACGCGAAACGCGAAATAGGAAGCTCTGATTTTCCAATTGCTTATCGCGGTTTAGGCGTACGCACGCAAACCAAAAAGAGCACCTGAGATAACGTCCATCTTAGACGTACCTGAGATAGTGACCCGGACGTCACATATCATACATTTTTTCAATGTATCTTTCAACGAGAAATCCAAATCCGTCATCTCCAGTACAATCTTTAAGCATTAACATAATGAAAATCACGATTATCATCAAGTTCCCCATCACTTTCATGAAAGCATGCAGCATGTATTTTTAATGAATTTGCTACCGAGAAATTTCTATTTTACCCTTTTTTGTCGTCATTTTTTGAGTTTTTCGCTATGAAATATAATTAATCCAAGAAAAATTTGTTTCTTCTCTGTCATTGTATATATTACACAATAATTTGGTTATAAAAATTGATTATATGTTATTTTATTATAGATGTACGATTATCAAATCAGATTTATAGAACAACATATAATTTTGAGTACAAAAATTTATTTACGTGAAAAATCCATTACTTGTACTTTATCCAGTACTTGTACAGTTTCAAATATTGCTGATATTTATATTATAAACAAATTGCGTTATGTTAGTTTGTCAATATGTTATAGTGTTTTCAGTCAATATCACTATTTTCTGATTCAGTCTCTTCTTGGCTAGTATTAATAAGTAATAGCTTTTTCATTTCATCCGACAATTTTGTCTTTGGTAATGTCTTCAAAGATGTTATTAGTGGATCAGAATTAAGAACACGTCTTACAAGGAAAGGTACCCAACCCGAACTCACCGATTTTGATACAAATTGTAGAACATAAAAAAATAAGAGACACGTATTTTTTTTATCGGCTAATTTTCACTTTTAAGGGGTAAAAACCTCCCTTAAAGTTAACCCCCAAAAAGCGTTTTTTTTTTAATATCTCGGCTTAAAATTAATATTTTTTAATGAAACAAATTAGAAGTTATTTCTTACAAAAAGAGCAAGTATTTCGTGGTGATTTGAAGAGTAAGGGTAGCATCTCCTATTTTTTAGGGGTTGAAAACATTTATTTTTTGGCCTAATTTTATAATAAAAAAGTTTAAACCGACTAAAAAAAAATGGGAAAAAATGATTAAACATACATAATAACAAAATTTAGCTGACGTCTTTCGGTGTTTTGATAAATATTACCCCTAAGAGGTGTAAACCACACCTAACACAAAATAACTGTAAATATGTAATTCAATACATAATATTTCGAGTAAATTTGTATATAGAGGTTTTCGAGGTCGCTC